ATAAAATTAAAAATGAAACTGTAATTTATAAATAATGAGCAATTATGATCTAAGGGTATCAAAAATTTACAAAAAAAAGAAGCTTAATATTTATTTGTTTACTTTATTAAAACATTTCTTTCAACGCGCGCATGCGTAAAGCATACATTACACATAGCCGAAATTAGAAAATTGCAAACCAGCAAAACTATTTGATTGTAGTGATATTTATAATGACGAGGAAGGAAATTTAAATCATATCAAAGACGGAGTACATTCGAGATGAAATACTACATTTTAATAAGGAATATATAGCCGAATAAAATGAAAAACATCTGCCCTGAAGATAACGATAGTGCTGACAGATCAACTTCCAGTTCATTGCGCGTCACGACGTCCCCCCCGCCCAGCGCAGAGCATGGAGGTAGGAAGTAAGATGGAGTCGCCCTAAACAAGTTTCTCCCGTACCCTGCTCTGAAGACCGGCGATCCCTACGTGGTGACCAAAACATTGGGTCATTTACCATTGAGTTCAATGGGATTTGACGCGTTCGGATGTAAATATTTTGTAATTACGTTGTAAATATACCTATAAATGTATATATTTTCTTTTTCTACCGCACTTCAGAGTCCTAAGTATATGAAAACAACATTTAATTCTGAACGGAATCAAATGCTATACTTTTCACAGGACAATTTTCTCAGAATGGTTTAATTTGAATGAAATATTTTCACAAGTTTTCGTTAATTACATTGGAAAAAAAATTAAGGTAATTCGATTTTATTCGGTTGAAGTACAAAAATTAAGATCAAAGTTTATTGTATTATTAATATTAAAAATTATGCATTATTTCTTTTCTATTTATAGAGAGTTTTCTTCCTAAAATATTTCTTAAATATGACATGATTTTTTGGCTTCTGAGGCATTTTTTAAATCGAAAAATGTATGCCAATTTATAATTAATGCTCTATTCGGTTCATTTTAAATTAGAGAATTATTAGGAATTAGCGAAATACTTTAAATAGTACTTGACTTTCTCTGAAGATTTCTGAAAGTTAATAAAATAAGTTTTTTTTTAAGTATTATTTAAAACTTGTAACTGAGTTATTATAAAATGTAAGGAGAATAATTCTTTTAATTATACTTACCAGATTTTTTTTTACCCTTCATTTCAACAATACATATTCCAAAACTCTTTATTACGTTCTTAAGTGCGCATCTCATAGCATTTGCTTTACAATACCTTTTAACAGATTGCTTTCCAATACGAACAATTCTTACTTAAATAGTTTTATAACGTATTTGTCAACAGGATTTCAATTTATGTTTACAATTCAATATTAAGGTTATTATATATTTAGATAACATTTATAATCATTATAAATTAAGATACATTTAATAATTAGATTTCTTCACAGTATCAAGGGAAAGCTAACTTATTGGCATATCTGTGTGTATATTTATTAATTTTGACGAGGATTGCAGTATTTGATGGTAATTTTATTTTTAATTAACCTAAATAAGTAAAACGTGTAAGGGCAAAGTGATTATTTTTCAGATATATAAAATTAAAATGATGAGTTTAAAATGGGCAGCAGTAAGCCTCTCCTCTAAAAAATTTTAAAAGGTACATGTTAAATAATATATGGATGTGAAAAAAATTTGCTTTATTTCAAACATTTTGGCGTTTGGAAAATAAAATAAAAGTAGCGAATACTCTATAAAGGGTATCGAAAGACGTATACAATTTTAAATGTACCGTAAGGTGTTTTTAATTCTTTAAGCATAACATTTTTCTTAAAATCTATATTTTTGTAGTTCAACAGCTTAGAATTTTATAAAACAAATTCATAATCAAAATTGCTGTTGTTAGTTATCGAAAGATAACCAAGATGTGATTTTTGCGTAAATGTCACTAAACTATACAAAGTGCTATTATCCATCACACTATGAATGTTTTTCTCATGCGAAAGTGTCCCTTTTTCGATTTTTTTTTGGAACTGTCGTGTGTCGAAATACTATCAGAACCCTGTCAAGCGAGCTTCTGAATGTAAACAAAGAACACCCCATCTGGTGACCCAAGCTTCAAAGCAGTGCTTCACTTCTAGCGCCGGTGGGCACCTCCTTCCTTTCCTACCTCCATGGCGCAGAGCAGCGTGAAATTGATGAACAGATTTCGGAACGGTTATATAAACAAAGGATATGCCTTTATCCATTTTTTGTAGCAATTCCACTTCTTGTTTGATGGACATCGATTCATACTTTCGTTTTGTAGATCCTTTGGGAGCTCCAGCATCGGAAATTCTATTTGACATAATCGAAACTTCAAGCTTACTTTTATAAAATTGCTCTTTCAGTCTGCAAAAATAATAATCCGGATCCAATTCGAAGATTAAGGAACAACGCAATCATCAACGTTAACTTAAATAGATAATTAGATAATTTTAGCTTATACCGTCCGTTATATATTAAACGCTTATGCGCATGCGCAGAAAGATTTTAGCTTTGAGGTCCGGATTATAGATCATTCCGGATTATGTATGTCCGAATTAATGACTTTTGACTGTAATAGGAGTAATAATTTCTATTTCAGTATGAGGAGGAAGGAGGTATTTCTCAAAATAAGATTAAGACATTATAATTCCACTTACAGTGGAATACTAATAAGAAGTTATTTAACATTAAAAGAGCTCATTATTGATATTGGATGAGAATTCATTATAATATTTCTATATTTGTTGGCAGCAACTGAGATGGTAACCTAAACTAAAATGTCTGTAAGAATGAAGAGCTTAATGTAAGTGTCTGTAAGAATGAAGAGAGGGAATGAGTTTGTAATGAAGAGTTTATAAACAATGTTAGACACCCACACTATTCAATAGCTTTCATGATTGTTAAGAAAACCAAAATTGAAACATTATCTTAGTCTTCAATTAATATTGAAATGAGTGTGAAAACAAAATCTGGCTTTGTTTCTCAATTGCATTTTATTTTACGTTGGGCCTCTGTATTCATATAAATTTCATCAATCAGAGCATTTGAATCGTTAGAACATTTTTAATTAGAATTCATTCCTTTAATATTATCATTTCCATGAATAAACCATACATTCTTTTTTCAGTTAAATTGAATAAGTTTTTTCTAAATCAAATAAATTTTCTAAATAATTTTCTAAATAAAAGATGAATTATGCTTCATCAAATTATTATTAATTGTATTACAATGCACATGCATTAGTATTGTAGAGTCATATTTTTTTTTTTTTTTTTTTTTAAAGTAGGTAGACATGAGCAATGAGCTTGTCGGGATTCGTACCTGGACCTCTCAAATATGTGCTGAGTGTGCTATTCTTTACACCATGAAGTCATGTTGAAAGGAGGGTAAAAATACCTCATATACTCCCCCTTTTTTTAAAGGATGACTGGGGATTAGGGGACCTAATTGCCAAATCCTGGTAGTGAAGAATCATCATTCACAACCTTTTAGTTCAGGGGCCACTGTAGGCTCATTAGGTCATTTTTGGAGCAGGAGATGTGAAAGTTGAGCAGTGCCCTCACCGGGACTCGAACCTAGACCTCTCAAATATGCACCGAGTGTGCTAACCATTACACCACAAAGGCATGCAGAAAGGAGAGAGAAAATACTTTTGAGTATTAATAATATTTTTAATATGTACAGTTTTTACAAATAATGCCGAGAGTAAGACTTGTTACATTGATTTTAATAGCATCAGTATTAATTGGAGAGTTTATATGTACACAATGCAAAGCATTTGCTAATTTTTAATTATAATAAAAAATATCATTGTAAGTGTGATTCAGCAAAATCTAAGTAATGAACGCAGTCAAAATAATGTTTCTTTTTGTATAGTTTAGAGACTTTTATCAGATATTTAAAACGTTTTTATTTTAGCCAAATTAAACTGTTTAGATTTCAACAAGACACAGAAACATACTGATATTAACCTGGATTTACTATCTACTAAAGGGTTTTAGTGATATTTCTAATTCTAATAAAAAATTGATGGTATGGTGAGATTTAAGCTATTCCTTTATAAGCATTTACATTAAACACTCACAATAAGTTAATGAATATAATAAGAAATGATATTATGCATAATGCTGTCATTCCGTACATACTCAGATCAAATTTCAATACTACACTGCTTTTATTAGTGAACATGTAACATGCATGTATATGTAATGTATTGCATTGATGAACTTTATATGCAGTCTCTCAATACGAGATATTTTTACTGCTCTCTTTTAGGCACTGGTTGATAATTTTTCATCAATTTTTAACATGTTTGTGCATAGCAGTTTTGTTTGATGAATATGAAATCTAAAATAAAATTTTTCTTTACATATTTAATGTTGGTATGTTTTGCATCCAGCTCAACAATAAAAACACATTATCATTCAGTTGAGTAGCACAATCTTTATATACTGTATGTCTGTTTACCAACTTACTGTTATGCTGGGAGAATGACACAATCATTAACAAGATTTTTTACTGTACTTCTATATTAGTATTAACAAAATAATAATAACTAAAAAAAGTGTATGTAACAGCATTAGCACAAACTCGTATGCATTTTGGTTTTGTATTTGGGACACACTGTACTGTAATACTGCAATCTATTAACAATCTCAGAAAATCCTGGTGAGTGAGTTACTGTGTGAATGTTTCATGAGGAAATTTCCCCATGAAATGTCACCTAATTTTCCTAAGAAATTTCTAAACAGAAGCATTCTTGCCCTTAGACAAATAGAGTAGTTAAGCAAGCACTCATATACTTAGGAGGAGGTTGAAACTTGTGAATAAATTTCCAAACTTATTGGGGGGAGGGAGGGATGTAATCCATAATAGAGCTTTTGCTAATGATTATTCAAAATTCACCTAGACATAATTATAGCTTTTTAAACTTTAAAATAAGCAAATATGAAATGAATGACAGTCACATTCTGTTATTATCGCATATTTAATTTTTTTCATGTTAAGTAATAGTACATTTGTTTTAGGTTGAAGAATATCGGATTCGCTGTGCAAAGCTAGAAGCTGCTTTGGCTGAACATACTGCTAATGAAGCCAATATTGTGGTAATATGAATATTTTATATTTTGCTTTAAGCTGAACTGTTATGTTCTTTGTTGTTTTTGGTTCTGGTATTTATTACATAAACAGGCCTCATGAATAAAAAGCTGTTGGTCAGATTAATAGTTAAGCAATCCTGATGACTTGGAGCTTGAATTTTGCTGAAAAAGGAAAGCTGACTGTAGGGTCTTTATGAAGGAGGAACATTTAAAATGTATTTCATCTGAAATACCTCATCAAAGATTGTTGCTTGGAAAAGAGAGGTATGGGACCTGAAAAGTCACTCTTGCTAAGGGTTGTTGATCAAAATTGATTTGAAACTAGATAAAACCTCATTGTCATCTCTGATGCTCAAACTCAGTAACAAATAATAGGTTCAAATGCTGTAATTTTTATCTACGTAAAATTTAACTTAAATAAGCAAAAATTAAGATGTTTTTGGAAATCAAATAAATGCTTATGACAAAGTATATAAGGTTAATTAAATAAGGGTGAAGAAATATTAAAATTTTTCATAAAATGTTCTTTTTTTATTATTGCATGAAAGATGTTCTTTTATTTGTGATAACTGAATAAACATTGTTTTGTCATTTTTACCTTAAGTTATGATTTCTTGTTTAAGTTTCATACATTACAGGAAGTTACAACTGTTAAATTTAACATTATGATCAAACATTTCATCTATTTCAATGATTAGTTTTAAGTAAATTTAATGAGGACAGATTTGAATTGAAAATCATATTTTGTAGAAATGTGGATTTTCTTTTGTATTTAAGGGTATAAAACTGGGCACTTGAATTATCATGTAGAGATTTCTTCCTTACAGTATTGTTAACTACTGCATACAGACATCATTAGATGTTATTATATATTATATGAATGTCAATGATTCTTTCTTGAAAATCATATTCACTAAAAATTACTTGTACAGATATAAATATTTTAATGTATTAAATTCCCTAGAAATTACTTATGTGCATTTTATCATGAATGAAGTATGAAGTATATGATTGCTTGCTTATGAAGTATGCTGGTTATCATAAATTAAGGAAAAATCACGATTACTGAAAAAGTTACATGTAGAATTTACTGAAACTTACCAACAATATACAACACATAGTAAGGTATCAACTAACATAAAAAGAAATTACCAGACAATTATGGTAGTATAGAAATTAGCACATGTATAAAATGAACAAGTTTGCTATAGGAAAAGTACCTTCAATATGGAATATTTTCGCCTCTAGAAGCAATACACCACATACAGCGATGTGTGATGCTTTCAGTTATGGGGTCTATCACTTCCATAGGAAGCGAGAGCCATTGCTCTTGTGAAGCAGTTGCAAGTGCAACAAGGGTTTGAGGGGGCGGATTGAGAGTAGCTAGATGTCTCCCTAAAGCATCAAAAACATGCTCGATAGGATTCAAGTCTGCGGATCGAGCTGGTAACTTCATGCGCATAATTGTTTCCTGTTGAAGATAATCATCTACGATGCGAGCCCTGTGTGGTCTTGCGTTGTTGTCCTGTAACAGGAAAGCATCACCTATTGCCCGGGCATATGGGCACACATAAACATCAAGGATGTCATCTCTATAAATCTGAGCATTCACGGTTCCCCTTGGAAACACATGGAGCTCTGTGCGTCCACCCAAAGAGATGCCTCCCCAAACACAGACACTGCCCCTTTCGTATGCACCTCTTTCACGAATGTTTGACGGATGATAACGGGTTCTAGGTTCTCTCCATATCAAATAATGGGTACTATCGCTTTCTAGACTAAACCTGGACTCATCCGTAAAGAGAACCGCCCTCCATTGATCAGGCATCCAGTGGACATGTCGTGCACACTGAAAACGGTCCCTCCTATGCCGTGACATGAGCAGCACACAGATGGCTGGTCGCCTCGCCATACAGACCACCTTTGTGAAGCCTTCTATGCACAGTTGACGTTGACACGAACCTTCCGGTGGCTGCAGCAAGGGAGGATCTAAGAAGAGTCGGAGTAGCGGTTCTATTCCTGCGTGCACATAATGTCAAATATCGGTCATCGGCACTCGTCCTAGCAGTTGGCCATCCTTGGCTGAACCTCCTAGATGCCGAATCTGGGGTTTGAAATTGCCTCCAAAGTCTATGAACCACAGAAGGACTCACATTTAACCATCTGGCCACTTCTGTTTGACTTTGTCCTGCCTCATGTCTCCCAATGGCTCTCCATCGCAGTTCTGCAGGCAAATGATGCCTGGAGTTCATTGTTACGAATTGGCTATCTCAGATTTCTGATGTCACTGTCACAGTGAAATATGTGGGCTTCCTCTCAAACATGGATTTTTATGCTCCTCACAGATGACGTATTCCGAAAGCAGCACCACTAATTTGCATATCACGGTGTTACTCGGCTACTCTTACTAGGCAACATATTCAAATTTTACATGGTTTGGCTTATTTTTGAGGGAGTTATCGCTATTTTTGTGATTTTTCTTTAATTTATGATAACCAGTGTATATGATTGCTTGCTTAACAACTCTATTTGTCTAAGGGCAAGAATGCTTCTGTTTAGAACTTTCTTAGGAAAATTGGGTTATATTATTATATACTGTTATTAATTACTGTTATATTATAATAACTTATATTATAATATGTGACTGTTTACTGTTATATTATATTTAACTGTTATAATTAACTATATAGAATTAACTGTTATATTATATTATAATACATGAAAACTAGTTTGTTTTGGTATTTTATCTAAAAGAGTTTCTTCAAAAAATAATTTTCTGAGGCAATTATTTTAGCATTATCATTTAAGAAAAAAAAATACATTTTTTTAAAAATTTTATTCGTACAGGAAAATAAAAATAAAATAAAATAAAATAAAGCCTTTGCACAATTTAAGGTATAGCTTTTTGAAAAACTTTTTTTTTTTCTTCAGGAGTCAGATTCTCATTCCCAGAATGCTTTATCAATGGATCTGGAAACTGCTTTAATTAGACTTGAACAAGAAAAAAATAGGTAATAATTTTTTTCAATAATTTGTATTCATTGAAATGTAAAATGTTAATTATTTGCAAGTGTCATGACGATGTAAAGATGTAACATATAAATTATAATAAAAGAAATGATAGTTCTAAAATTTTACTGTAATTGCTTATAAGAATTTTGGATTTTTGCAAATCAGTTATTTATTTCAGTGGGAACAATGTGAAACAATGTGATTTCAATGAAAACAATGAGAGAATTTCATAATCATAAGAATAAATTTGTATTTTTCATAATCAAAGATAAGATGTGTGTACAATAAACCCTTTCCAAACATGGACTTACAGAATGTGATTTTGCATATGTGGGTTATCTTAATTGTCTCCATTTAATTTTAACCAATATGATAATTTCAGTTATATGTGGTATGCTGCAGAGTATCAGCCATGATGTGATAGTTCCTCTTTAACAACTGGTTTGAAAATTTATTCATTAAAAAGTCAGTCATTGCTTAGAACATCAAAATTTGAGCTTTAAAGTCCTAATTCCTGATAATTTTCTCTAGAATACGGTGCTGAAGCTCTGACATTACAATGCATCCAAATGTAGAGGTTTCTCCTCCTTCCAGCAAATACCTCATCCTTAGTCCAACCAATAGATCAAGGAATCATAAAAACATTCAAAGCCTGCTGTGCCAGGCATGTTAACATATCTTCAAATAAAGAACTAGGTGAATCAAAACACAGCACAGCAAAAGCATTTTGGAAACAATTCAGTATAAGACACTGCATAGAATTGATTAATCTCGCATGGAAACGAGTGAATTCATCAACAATGAATGCTTGCTGGCATCAGCTTTGGCCAGAAGTTGTCATCAGTTTTAAAGGATTTCTATAGATTGAAAATGAAGCCAAGGAAATCATGCAAATGGCTGAAGCAAAAGGTAGGAAAGGAATTTCAGATATAGAACAAGGAAAAATCAAAGAATTAATCGAGAATCACAGCTATGAAATAAGAATAAAGAATTTGATATTTTTATAACACTAGCAGTTGGTGAAAGCAGTGTAGTGAAGACTGAAAGAGCCTTTAATGTACAAGTAGTTAAATAAATTGTTAAAAAAGGTTTGGGAACTGTCTGATTTTGCAATGGAAATTGACCCAAGACAAGAAAGAAGAGTATACTTTACAGCAGGTGTCAAAAACTTTGCACTCTTTACCACAAAACACTTAATGAGTTGCATCAGACGTTGTCTCAAGCAAAATTCAAGCTATTTAAAATATTAATTGTATCATATATCTACTTATTATGCAGCAACAGAAATTGTTTCAATTAACGTTTGTTGTAAAGAGAGAAGTAGAGGGCGCTGCTTGGCAGTAGCGCAAGCATGTAAGTAGAAACGAAATGTCGTTTGATTAGGCAACATGATTTCTGTGAAGGTAGTCCACCTAACAAATAGGACAGTTGTAAATATGTAAATATAATGAATAATAAATAGTATTAGAAAACTGAACCATCGGATGCATTGTGATTGCTCTACGGGCCGCCATGGATAAATGCAGGTTCGTCACAACGTTTGTTTTATTTTTTCTCTTTTAATTATAATAGTATTTAAGTTGTATAAATTATACATAACTTTCTTAATCTAAACAATTATCTAACCCCTTTTTTCATAGAAAGTTAACTTTGTAAAATGCGATTTTGCCATAGACGCTGAGTGTTAATGAAGCAACCCCAGTGTTCAGCAAGGGCTTACTGTTCTTTAAAAAAGTGAAGTGCTGTTTATGAGACTGTGCCTAGTTAGTAATTGTGATAAAATATTTACTCTATCAGAATGGAAGGATATGTCTTTGAGTAAATTTACGCAGCTAAATTTGTGCTTTACTTTTATTTTTTTCTCAAGGTGTCAAGGCTTAACTCAGATAAATACACTTTTACGTGAACAGCTAGAAACTGCTACAGAAGTTAATCAAACTCTTACATCAGATGTTCATCGTCTGACTAAAGAATGGCAGCATGCAAGAGCTCAGCTATTAGCAAAAGAATCAGAATGGAAAGAAGAGGAACAAGTATTTTTTCTGATGTTTTAATATAATATTTTATGAGCTTTTTTTAAACTAAAAATATGATTTTTTAAGGTTTTTAAAACATAATCAAGAGATCAAAATTAAAATTATTTTTTTATTTAAATTTATTTTCAGTCATTCAGTCTGTATTTCACCAAAGAGAGCAACATGCTTTTATCATTATGGCATCAAATATTGAACTTCAAGCATGATTTTACAAATCTAAGAAACTCAACAGAAAGAGATCTCTCATCTTTTAAAATGTGTATGTGTCACAGTGTTCAGAGTATTATTGAATTACAAGAGATAAATACTGAAAGATCATTACAGGTACATATAAGCCTATATTAAATCATTCTTGTTGTAATTTTTAATTTGCTTCTAAAACAATATGTATGCATGTGTTGAGGTTTACTGTTGATAAAAAGATAGCAGTTTAAGAAAATATATCTATGTATAAATATATGTATTTATAAAAATCCTCTTACCTAAACTGAATGCTGTGCTAGATTAAATAATCTTGCAGCAGTACAGTTTTATTTTTAAATATGAATTATGTCATACTGTCAAGATTTTTGATTTCATGTATATTGATGCAACAGGTTTAGTTAAATGTCTAAGATGGAATTATTTTTATTTCTTTCATTTTTTCGGGGGTACTGAACATTCAAAAACTAATAACTAATAATTAAGCTTTAGATGATTCTTCACATGTTGCTACCGTGTATATGAGAAACATCAAATAGTATAATAAAAGTTGTATAAAATCACTGATAAGGTACTGCTGTAAATCAGATCAATGATAGAAGCTATTGTTATAGTATATATTTAAACCATCAACAATTTTAATCATCAGCAATTTAAACTATCAGCAATTTGCAATCAGAATTTCATTCAGAATCAGAATTCAGCTAAGATTGAACAGAATTTTTATCATCATTGATTGGTTATAATCAGTGTACAGCAGGGATGTTCAACCAGGGAAAATTCCCCTCCTCGGGGAGAGGATTTCATAGTTTCAGGAGGAAGTGCTTTTATTTAGCTTTAACCTTTTGTTTAGCTTTTAAGTATTTAGTTTATTCAAGTTTTGATGTTTAACAACACTTTATGTACACTGTGGGGGGGGGAAAGAGAGAGAGAGAGAGAGAAATGGGACAGTTCTATATCTCCTGTTCCACTGGGCAAATTGCGTTTTTCATGTTTGGAAAGCACGACTTAGGATAGATATTAGATTTATATATAGCATCATTCTAACATAGGTATTTTGACTCAAAATCGGATTTTTTTCTGAAATGACATGCCATTTCTTTCCATATTTTGATTCTATGACTCAAATTATGCCAGACTGCCAAGTTTTGTAAAAATTGCACAAGTAGATTTAAGAAATTAGCTCTCAAAATTTTAGCTCCTCAATATTAATTGAATTTGGTATATATCTCATTTTTTTATGAAATTTTTTTGAAAGTTGTCGGTGTTATTGTAAAGCACGAAGTAGACTGCGGGGGGGGGGGGGGGGGACAGGTATCTCCCATTCTACTGGGCCAATTGACGAAATTCAACTTGCGTTTTTCATGTCTCGAAAGCACAACTCAGGATATATATATGGCATTGTTATAATCAAATTTATATACGGCATTGTTATAATATAGGTATTTTGACAAAAAAATCTGACTTTTTGTTTTAAATGACATGACAATTTTTTTTTCATATTTCCATTTTACGACTCAAGCTACGCCAAAATGCCAAGTTTTGTAAAAATCGCACGAGTAGTTTTTGAAAATTTTGCTGTCAAAATTTTGGCTCCTCAATGTTAATTGAGTTTGGTATATATTTATTAATATTTCTTTTTTATTAAACTTATTTGATTCTTCCTTTCACATTTCGAAATTTAGGTTCCTTCCAAGTAAAATTCGTTCATTTTTTATAATTTATTTTAAATTTGTATTTTTAAATAATTTTTATAATTTTTTCAAAAAAAATTTGAATTATAAACTATAAAATTGTTACCATCATCTTAAAGTGGGTGTATTTCTAAGCATACGTGCAAAAAATTAGACTTTTTTATTCAAAATTTTCTAAGATATACACGAATTTACATATTTGTGCAGTCCTTTTTTTTTTTCAGTGATAATGTGTTTTGTGGATTTTGTTACAGTGAATTGCCACAGTTATTTTTAACCTTAAATTTCAAGTAAATTTTTATGGAGAATTAATTATATGAAATTTTTTCCTTCAATGAAGTGTAATAAATATTTTTTAATGCTATACAACAAAAAGCTATTTTTTAAATTATAGATGATATATTCAAATTTTAACTTTTTTAAAATTTTTATTTTCCCCTCTTTTTTAAAAAATATTTGTAAGGGTAAATTTTTACCCCTCGCCGTGTTTATCGCCTGCACTTTATTTTAACTTACTTAAACTTAATTGTCTAAAACTGAGAAAAGTTCATTTATGTTTATTTCACAATGTTTGTAAGCAACAGATGTTGACACATTGGGTCATGTCCCAGCTTTAAAAAACATGTATACAAACATAAATTTTTACATTAATTCTCTTAGAAAGAATGTTTTAAGTAGTAATTTTGTATCGTGTTGTAGATTACATTAAAAACCTCTTCTTTAACTCTCTTAGTTTTATGGCCAGAAAATTCCGTACAGAAGGTTGCCTTCCACTTCATTATACATGAAATTTCTGCTAGCTTTAATGTATCTGATTCAGTTTGGATGTATATTGGAAAAAGGGAATCAAGATACAAAAGAAAGAGTAATTTTTTAATTAAAATCAAGAAAATAATCACTTATTCATGACATTTTGAGGAACTTTGAAATTTCAGGGCTAACCCGTAATGCTCAGAGGGTTAATACAGAAATTTTTGGGCTTAAAACTCTAAATAACATGATTAGATTTTTCACCCGATATAAGAATTGGGTCACTCGGTGGTACAGGATAAGTACTGCTGGAGTGGTTTATTTCTTTCTCATTTAACAAAAATCTTTTAATTCAAATATTTATCCTTTGGACTTTGCTTTAATCCTTATTTATACTTAAAATGTCTAGAAGCAGTCTTTAGCTGAAACACATTTAATGCAACTGATATTTTAAAAAAATTTGACAAGAATGCAAAATTTATGGAAGTGTACAATCTAAAAATCTTAATTTTTTTTTTGTGTCAGCACTGAAGAAAAAATGTAGAAGGAAATTAGAAGGGGGGGAATTTAAAGGGGAATTCTTCTTCAAGGAAGTTGGGTGTTCAAAGAGAAAACCCTTGGACGTGTACACCAGCCAATAGCAGCAATCAAGATTGTGCTAATGGAAAAGACCAAAACGATATCATTGCAGGTTAAAGTGAAGAGCGACTGGTTTTCAACTACACATTTGTATAATTTTAAATTACGTTATCGAACATCATATCATCATAAACAGAGAATCCCATGATTTCTTAGTCAAATTATTTGAATATTCATGAATTTATCCAGTGATGTATGTGCATGTCACCTAAAGACGTTTTCCCTCTTGATGAAACCAGTCTTTCCTTTCATCTCACGCCTTCAAAAGGCTTGCTGTCTAAAGACTGATAATAGGCTCTGACTATATGCTGATGAAATGGATTGATTTAGATTATTAAGCTGTGGCAAAGCTGAGCTATCTGCTTTAAAGGAGGGATGTCTTCTAAAGAACTTTCTAAGCAAAACCCACTCGTATACATGTTATACGTGAGAAAAACCACGAAAATGCCCATGCAACCAGCCCGTTCGCTGGGATTCGAACCCCAGAGCGAACTACCACTGTTCAGTGACTTTACTGCTCAGCCCTTTGTGGGCCCTCTTGAAATGCAGGGTGATAAATTTATTTAAAATTAATGTCAGAAATAACAAGATGTTTCGAAAAATTGGATGTTTTTGATATACTTGTGTGAAAAAAGAAGAGCAAGCCATTAAGAAGAAAAAATAAATTTTTGCATTAAATTTAGTATTTTTTTATATTTGATTCTTGCTATTTCAAAAATAAAATATTTGAAGAAAATGTGAATAACATTTTAAGAAAATATAGGATGATAAAATTGTGTAAAGCAATGGGCACAATGATAAAACTGTATAAAACAATGTATGCAAGTCATCCTAAATTAAAATGTCAGATATGTATCTCTCTTATTTATATATCTTTTCTGAACAGAATACTGAAAGGAGTGTTAATTCTGCTTTACTGTATTTTCTCTTTTAATATAAGCAGTTTTCAAATGCATTGTAGTCTGGGTCACAAAGTATTCTTCCAAAAGGAACGGAATTCAAATATAAATCAAATTCTGGAAAATTTATATTTATAATATATTTAAGATGCTTGTTTCGAATGAATGAAAATTTCAAAAGCAATATCTGAAGACAATGCAACACAAAAAAATTAAAATAAAAGTCTAAAACAAAATTACCTAAATATTAACTCTGACTAAAATATAGTATAAAGAAAACTATTTGAAAAAAATAATAAGCAATGCACCTTTTCTTTAAACTCGCAGTTCAAATGAGTAGTAGAATTTGTTAAACAGTTAATGAAAAAACCATGCAACTTAAACTATTAAAATGAAAATCGAAAAAGCCAAAAAAAAAAAATATATATTTAAAAAAATAACATAAAATTATAATATAACGAACGTTATTTAAAAGAAGGAACAAAGTGACTTTTCCCTCTCATGCACAATGTATAAAGGAAAAGGGAAATAGGTTGCCATATATTAAGAAGTTCTCCAAGTGAACTATTCTTGGCACAAACTGAAAAAAAAGTTCCAATATAAATTTTTGAATATCTGCATAAATTTTGCACCAAATTTTACAAAATTTAATATTTAGACATAATTTAAGTCATAGAATTGAAATATGTAAAAAAATTGGTATGTTATTTCAGAAAAAGTCCGATTTTGTGTCAAAATACCTATGTTAGAATAGTGCTATATATAAATCTAATATATATCCTAAATCGCACTTTCGAGACATGAAAATCGCAATTTGAATTTTGTCAATCGGCCCAGTAGAACGGGGATATAGAACTGACCTTTTTTTTTCGCAGTGTACTTTTTGTTTATAAAGCATATTAAAAAGTAATCTAAATCTAAATAAATATGTAGGTATTTTGCAAATTTTGGAAAGGAAAGAGAGGATGGTTAAATGTGTCATGGAAAACAGGTTGAGAACCACTGGTGTAGAGTTTTATAATTTTAGTTATCAGCAAAAGCTGGGGCTAATGTTTGAAATAGCAGTGCATAAACCAACAAACAATATTTTGAAAGTTTTACTACTGGAGTGAGAAAATTTATTTATAGAAACAACAGGAATAATTCATTTTATGGTTAAATTATTTTAAAATATTGTTTTTGTTGAATTGTGATAGAATGATCTGCTCTGAACTCAAAATTTTGTTTTCAGTTCTTGGTAGAGGGGGTTAAAGTGATTCTTTTATGGCATCAGATGATAGATGTTCTTTCACTGAATTGAAGCATTTTCTTTTTTTTACAACTCACCACTCCCTACAATAAACTTGATGATTAAGATCTACAACAGAAATGAATCAAGAATGGTCTGAGAAGATAGATGGAAGAATGGAAAGAAACAAACAAGGAGTGGGATAAGGGGCATTGACTCTATCGGACCACAATTCCTTAAACTGATTTCTTTCAATTATAGTTTTGAGATTCTCTAAAACTTTCTTTCTGAATAAAACTAACAATAAAATTCTAGAATAAAAAAAAATGTTAAAAAAGGTGAGGAATGATAAAAATGAAACTTGCTTTTAACATGGCAGAATAAACATTTTTTTCTCCTCAAAATAGAAATCAAACTTTCTTCGCATGCTTCCAGTAAGAGTTGTTGGTGAGTGAGTGCTAAAAGAGCAGCCGCTCTTTTTTGATAAGTCACTGATCATTTGCTCAGTAAAGTAAGTTGCCCCTTTGAATCAGTTCATGACCAAATGGTACACTTCTAGTTCTCGGATTAGAATAAGTTACAAATTTAATTTATTAAGTGATTATTTACTGTTTATGTGATCGACAGAAATTTTTCTTTTTTTTCAATGGTTTTTCTTATTTATTAAAGCTGTTTTGAATGTTATAAATTAAAATTTTTTAATTATTTAATGAATTATGCAACAAATAAATGTAATTGATATTCAAATAAAATTATTTGGACTTTAAGACTAGATCTACCATCTGTTCTGCTACTGATCAAGTAACTCGGTTTCCAACTTTTTCTAGAAATAAATGTATATTAATCATTGTCAGCTGTGAGCTAAATTATTAGTTTCTCAGTTTTGTCATATAAAATATATAAAAATATCTAATTTTCTGAATTATTTATTATTTGTAGTAATAAATTTACACAAAAACAAGTAATAAAATTTAATTATTTTCTTATTTTTATTTTCAGCCTATTTTAGGTCTTAAATATAATAACAGAGAGTCTGATAAGTTTGATGCACCTGAAAGAATTGAAAATTCATTTGAAACAGCAAAGCTGCAAGAAAGGTATAAACTGTAAATGAAATAGTCATGTTATTTTAGTTACAATATATTTGGTTTACATCCTGACTTATAGTTAAAATTAATTCTTAATTGTAAAATACTTATATTTATTCAATTCAGTTTGTATTATTTATCATTATGAATTCTTGAGAGAAAAGCTCAGTTGTTATAAAGTAAAAATCTAAATGTTGCTGAAGCTTTTTGACTTAATGGTTTTTAACACATTCCTCTTCCCCTAAAAAACTTTAAAAATTGGGTGCTTAGTATTGTCAGTATGTCATCTTACCACTAACTTCTTGAGAAACTTTTCAGATTTTAGACTGTAAATGTCCTTATTCCATAAAGATGCACAAACAACCATACCTTATAGAGTATTTACCAAGTATAAAAGCATGTGCAGTTAGTCTTCTTTTACTAGCATACTGTCTATGGTGGCTTAGTTTCTGCTGTGTTGTACTTAAGAGAAGATATAATTTGGGTATTAGCAAATGTTGTTGTGTTATGAAGCTACTTTTCTAAGTTTATTTTCTTCAAAACTGTGGTAATTCTTCTTATTAGATTGTTTAATGTGTTTGTTGAGGTACTTAAATGCTGAATGCTACCAGATAACTGTTTAATACCAGATAACTTAATCTTTTCTTACATCTTGATAGGGTAGTTTGTTTAAGAAATTAATGCCATTCTATAAATGATGCAAATATTCATTCTTTGGCATTTCTAAATTTAAAAAAAAAAAAAAAAAAAAACATTTTGTGAAAAGTTACAAAATTTAACTTTTTATACATTTTCCTGGTCTTATATTTAAGAAACTTAGGAAATTTTTGTACACGTTATAAAAAAATAAAATACAAAAAGCATGATTTCCATACTATGAAAAATTGGTTAAGAGATTTTATTTTGTAGTTGGAAATCATATTCTGGGGCCGTATACAAATTGAATAGGGGAATATATTAGCATTTATGCACAACTAACAAAATGTCTTAAATAAGGCAAATATTAATATTTTGACATTTTAAAATTTTTTATAAAAATTATGAAATTTAACTTGATGTACAATTTTTACTCATTATTAAAAATAAAAAATTTGACTCCCATATGGGAAAAATTGACTAATATATTCAATTTGAAAATCTTGAGGAATCGGTTAATAATTAAAATAATTCAAGGTTCATTTCTGGCCATCAATGCAATTTAATGATATTCTTTTGTGATGCTATACCAAAAGAATTTTTACACAAATCATTTATAAGTGTTCAGATGCTAAAATTGTTATTAATATTCTTGTGAATTTGTTTTTACTTCAGAAACATAATTTAACAATCCTATAAAAATTTCATTACACTAAAAATATTTACACCCCCCCAAGAAAATGTTGGCCACTTTTCCCCCTCAAGGTTCAAGAATGGAATTTTGCAGCATAAAAATGCTCATCACTCAATCCATTAACACCAGAAATTATTATACTAAAAATAAAATACCATTTTTCTTTGGGGGGGGTGTAAATATTTTTAGTGTAATGAAATTTTTTATAGGATTGTTAAATTATGTTTCTGAAGTAAAAACACATTCACAGAATATTTAATAACAATTTTATCTGAACACTTATAAATGATTTGTGTAAAAATTCTTTTGGTAATCAGCACAAAAGAATATCATTAATTGCATTGATGGCCAAAATGAACCTTGAATTATTTTAATTATTAACCGTTCCTCAAGATTTTCAAATTGAATATATTAGTCAATTTTTCCCATATGGGAGTCAAATTTTTTATTTTTAATAATGAGTAAATTGTACATCAAGTTAAATTTCATATTTTTTTAAAAAATTTTAAAATGTCAAAATATTAATATTTGCCTTATTTAAGACATTTTTGTTATTGATAACATGTGTCTGTGATCAACTGTTGTGAAAATAAAGGCCAGATGAGGACTTATATAGGCATGATGTATATTAAAATATTTCGCAAGTATAAAGCAAAAACCTCTGCAAAGTTAATTTGGCAACATTGCAAAATTGATATACAATTAGAGATGCAATATAATTATCCATAAATCGATTAATTCATAAGTTCATAGTTTTAAAATGAAATATTTATCTTTAATTTTCATTTTAGAATACATGATTTGATTGAAAGAAATGAAAGAATTCCGTTGTTGCTTGAAGAAAAAGAGAAAGCTAATTCAGCTCTATGCAATGCAGTAGAAAAAATTGTAAATAATTTTTGTTTTTTATATATACAAAATAATTTTTCTTATTTGATATACAATTTTAAGTTATAAACATTTACATAAATAGTTAAATGTAAAAGAACTACTGAATTTGGTTTTTCCTGTTGTTTTACCTTTTTTTATTTTTTCAGAACACCTCCTTAAAAGAGAAAATGAACAAAACTGTTTCTACTGGTAAGGAACAGCAGGCAAATAAGTTATTACAAGAATATTCTGGAGCCTTGAAAGAAATTTCTGAAATTCTTTTGGATGATCCAAACTGTGAAGTTTCTCCAAATATAGCTGTCTTAAGGTAAGTCTCTATGGTCATCCATTCTATATTGTTTTATGAAACTATTGATTTTATGCATTAAAGTTTCTATCAATTAAAATTTATATTTTAGTATATACAGTCAAAAGTCGTTAATTCGGACACCCATAATCCCTAATGATCTATAATCCGGACCTCAAACTAAAATCTTTCTGCGCATGCGCCGCATTGACGCATGAGCATAGGCATTTTACTCGTGCGCCCAAGACATTTACGACTGCGCATATGCGTCTGCGCAAGTGCAGAATACGTTTTCGCGTGCACGTTTAATGTATAACGGACAGTATAAGCTAAAATTATCTATTTCAGTTAATGTTGATGATTGCGTTGTTTCCTTAATCTTCGAATTGGATCCGGCTTATTATTTTTTTTGCAGACTGTAAGAGCAATTTCTAAAAGTAAGCTTGAACTTTCGATTATGTCAAATAGAATTTCCGATGCTGGAGCTTCCCAAAGGATCTAGAAAACGAAAGTATGTTTCGATGTCCATCAAACAAAAAAAATTGCTACAAAAAATGGATAAAGCATTTCCGAAATCTGTTTATCAATTTCATGCTGCTCTGCGCGGGGGGGGGGGGGGGGGGGCGTCGGCGCACCAATGAACTGGAAGTTGATTTGTCAACACTATCGTTATCTTCAGGCAGATGTTTTTATTTATTCGGCTTATAATTCCTTACTAAATGTAGTATTAATTTCGATGTACTCCGTCTTTTGATATGATTTAAAAATCAAATTCCTTGTCATTAAAATATCACGATACAAATCAAATAGTTTTCTGGTTGCAATTTTCTAATTTCGGCTATGCGTAAGGTATGCTTTACGCATCCGCGCGTTAAAAGAAATGTTTAATAAAGTAAACAAATAAATATTTGGCTTCTTTTTTGGTAAATTTTCATACCCTTTAGATGATAATTGCTCATTATTTTATAAATTACGGTTTCATATTTTTAATTTTATAATTTCTGCATGCCATCTTACCAGATTTAAACTGATGATCTATAATCCAGAAAAATCGATAATCAGGAATCGCCGAAGTCCTGACGAGTCCGGATTAAAGACTTTTGACTGTATTTACTTTATCACTCATGTGTTTAAAAATTGCTACATTTTGAACAAGTCTGTAGAATTTACAAAAAAATGTAAAACACAGTGTGAGACACAAATGATTAAAAATGCAGAATGAATATATATACTTTGACTCAGCAACGTGTTTTCAGTGTTCGTGTAGAGCTTGTAACATTAGATATATAAGTATGTTATATATATATATATATATATATATGTAAGCATGTTATATATGTAATTATATTATATATTTCTTGATTTAGTTTGATTGAGTCTATGTCTGAAGTAAAGGAAGGTATTCTGTCACATGAAAGTACATTGCAGCTTCATTCACTTGTTTCTTCAGTTAAATCAGCTTTGCAAAAATATCGCAAGCAAATTGAGGTAAATGTTTATATCAAAATAATATTTGCAATTTATAGTAGTTTCTAGAGTTTATATGAATTTTTTCATAGTTCGCAAAGTAACAATTGCGTTGTTTTAAAACATTTTTTTTTATATATAACGGCAAAAAGAACCATTATTTGTGTTTTGCTGCATTTCAACATTTGGAAGTATGTTTATTGCTTTCATGATGTGAAAATAACTGTATTTGTTAAAATTCCATTCTATCAAAATAAAATCTGTTTCTCATCCATATGCCATAATATCTGTAAGTATTTGTAACCTACTGAAAACAAAATAAAAACAACAAAAGGAAAAATTCAGATATTAATAAGGTAATATTCACTCATGAAAATAAACAAAATTGGTTGAACTTTTAAAATATGAATGTTATTGCTTTTGGCATTTTTAGCCCAGAGTTTTAAGCTAAATCTCTATTCCTGCATCTAATATAAGACCTCAATAATAATCAGAAATATTAATATTTGCCAAGGAAAAAAATGTTAAGTACCAACCATTAAATAAACATAAATGAAATTGATATTGCCCTTCTTTTACAAAGGATGTTGCAGAAAGTAAAATGATGCAATAAAAAAAGAAAGGAGAAATTTTCAGAATATTTTAGATAGCTGATTGGATATGGGGGGGAAAGGGGGAGAAGCGCAAAATGTTTTCAGAAAAGGAAAAATGCATATACACTGCTGGCCATTAAAATTTATTCAGAAGACACTTTGTAAAGTCAGAGTTTGCTCAGAATATTGTGTTATGCCTCAAATAATAAGAAGAAATGCTTAAAGTGTCGGAATTCGATAGAGGCAAAATCGTTGCTTATTGAGAGTGCGATTATCATTCCATGATATCGCCTGTCGCACTGGTTGACATCCAAACTTTGTCATGCGAATATGGATTCAATGGGGTGCTGAGGGTCATACTAAACAGCATACAGGATCTGAATGCCCTCTCATGACTAACGTCCAAGGAGAGAGACATATTGTGAGGTCAGCTCTGCAAAACCATACAACCATATCACAGACCATTAGTCAGGAAATGGGCATGTTTGTAGCATGCCTAGTATCTGCACGTAGGGTGCGTCGATGTTTGCAGCAGCACGGACTATCAACTCGCTGATAATTACTTCGGCTTCCCTTGACAATGCAGCACAGAGAGAGGTGGCAACTCTGGTGCCCCGAACGACAAAGCTGGATAAATGAGCGGCACAATACCATCTTTTCAGATGAATCCTGGTTTTGTGTGCAGTGTTCTGATGTCTATATACACATTTGGGGCCTTCAAGGAGACCACACGCCGCCTGCTTGCATTTGATATCAGCATAGGGACCCTGCACCTGGTGTAATGCTTTGGCATGTGAAAGATCAGGTATAATAATATTCACATCTCTATTTTGGATTGATGATAATTTGAATGCAGATGGGTACATGTTTGACATCTTACGTCTAGTGGTTATGCCATATCTTTGGTGCCTGCCTAACAAGATCTTTCTACAAGATAATGCCAGACCACATGTTGCACATTGTGTTCTGGCCTTCCTCGATATGCAGGGTATTCGACTGCTGCCCTGGCCTGCATGGTATCCAGATCTGTCGCCCATTGAAAACATCTGGTCATGGGTTGCTGAGAGACTGGCCTGCCACCCCTCTCCAGCTAATACGGTTGATGGAAGTGTGGCATAGACTTAAAGCAGCATGGAATGAGTTGTCCCAGTTCGACTCCATGCCTAACTGGGTAAGGGCTGTTTTAGTTGCCAGGGGTGGCAGCTGTTTCTACTAATTTTGTACCCCTGTAAACCCTAAACTGCTTACGAATTTAATCATTTTGTCATCACTTTAAGTGCAATAAATATCTTTTATGTATTTGCTTTCCCTTCATAGTGTTGCAATTTTAATGGCCTGCAGTGTACTTAACAAAAAGTAACAAATGACTCTAAAATAGAATATATAGCATATGAATATAATCAACTTAAGTTTGTACGACTCAAAACTTTAACAATTCATTCTGATGTAACAATCCATAAGAAAGTCTCAACTGAGCTTTTACTTGCATAATCTAATTTTTCTTCTTAGTATAATAGTCTGCTATACAGCTCTTTATAAATCACACATTTGATCTTATTCACATGTTCAAGAAGGTTCACATTAGCTATTAATTTGAGTCAATTTACTCAGTATTAAAGATTTGGTTTTATTTAATCTAAAAATGCCAAGCTTTCCCAAATCCTTAACTAGGGTTTCACTCACTGGATAGTCCTTTAAAGTCATGCAAAATGTAGATGCTGAAAAGTGGTCCATTTATCCAAAATTTCTGTGCCCTAATTAGAGTTAATAAATAGGTTCTTCTGTTATAATTCTTAGCTGTGTATATCCATAAGTATCTGTGTTATCAAATGTGAAAGTAATTAATCACTTTGTATTATGTTTCCTGAGCTACTAATTAAATGAGATGTGTTTTATTTTAATTTTGTCTCTTTTAATGAATTGTCATACTTTACTGTAATAAAATGTGTTGAATAGATTGTTCATAAATTCATCAAAATTGAAATAACATAAAGTTGATTAATTTCTGTAATTTCATAGAATGTGAAAAATTATTAAAATATTAACATATACCATACAACCACATCACAGATTTAATATATATAACATATTTTTCTGCTGTAGTTGGGGTAATAAATTTCTTACTGACAGTATCATACAGTTGACTTTTGCTGTCGGCAGCTATACAATGTATCAGTTACATGTGATTATTTTACCAATAAAAAATGTCCAAAAATTATGTTTAGAAATGCTTATTTTATCGAATTCATTTCATGCTTAGAAATATCTATATTCTTTATTTAATTTTAATATATTCATTTTGGAAAAAAATCGTAATTTAGGAAGCAAATATAAAGGTATCTGCATTGAAGGAGCAGAATGTAATGCAGGAAAGGACAGTTGAATTTCTGGAAGATGAGCGACAGAAAATGCAACAACTGAATTCTCAGCTGTCGTCTCAATTTGAATCACTGTAAGTTAATAAGCAATCAATTTACTGGAAAAATGTTCTATGAAAAATTCATGATTGGGAATTAACTTTTGAATTCCTTTAATTATGAAAAACATTTAATTGCTTTAAAAGTACTTTGCAATCATTTGCATCAAATTATGTTTTCAGTTTACAACATAATATACTTAAAATGTGTAATTTTATATCTGCTGAATATAAGTTTTTCCCTCACAGATAATTATGATGCTTTTGTCTTGTCTTTTTTTTTTTTTTTTTTTTTTTAATATGCAGAAATTATAGACTATTTTGTACTACCTCAATGATTGTGATCAAGATAAATGTTTCTGTGTATGTATTGTTAGAATAGAATATGCAAAATCGTACTACACAATTAATTTAAAAAGGGAGGGTAGAGGGAGACTTTCATTTTTCCTAAAGATTGTAGCATTACAGGAATTAAAATTATTATCAAAATATGTCAAAATATTTCTAATACTCAGATCTATATAGTTTGTGAAACAGTTCTAAAATTAAATGATTATGTTGTGATGACAGGGCTTTTGAAAATTGGAAAAAATCTCATGCTAAAGTCTGGATTTTAAAAACTTTTATTTTAGAAACTGCTCATATTATTACTGCTTATATGCTTATATTATTACTGCTTATATTATATACTGCTTTATTTTAGAAACTGCTTATAGTATATGAATTTATTTTTAATTACTCTCCTTATTGTACTCTTTGTTTGTCTGAATCATTGCTGTTAAAAATCTTCATCTCAGCTGTGAAGAGATTCATTTCAGATTTCTCACTTTCTCCAATGAATGGTTTCAATAAATGCATGTTCAATGACTCTGTAATTGTAGAAAATCACCGTACATGATCTTATCATAAAAGGAAAGCAAAAGTTTTATATCATGCTCAGCATCACCATAAAAGTGAAGCTTTTTCCTTATAACATGACATCATCTGTTAAAAGGAAACTGAGATTAGTTTTCTTATTAGCTGCACATTTCATGCTATCTATGAGAAAGAAAATGGTGCAAATTCATCCAGACACTTTTTTTTTTTTTTTTATTTTGCTTAACTCTATCCCATGACTTTCCCATAACTGGCCCAGCCAGTGACTTAGTGATTAAGGCTGAATAAATACTGATAGTTCAACCTGGGTTCGAAGTGAGGCAGATGGCCTAGCTGCATGGTTGTGGTTTATGTGGTTTCTGAGTGCATTCAAAATACTGAAATCCTTCTGAATGTGACTTTCCTTTTTCTGGCTTTGCTCACACTAGTGAAATAACATTCTACAACCTGCTTGGCATCATCTTCTTTATTTACTTTTGTAGTCCCTCCCTTTGATAGTTTCACAGCGTGAAAGCTGAGATTGGAATGTTATGTGGTATGTATAGTTTTTGAAGGGAGGAAAAAGAATACCTTAATACAATTAAAATGACTATATAAATAGATTTAGAAACTAGGTTGTTATTAATTATTGTCTTTAATACTATTTTTATATTATTATTATTATCCTATATTTTATGGTGTAGCATGTGTTTTATGGTATAATTTAAAACTTCATTAGGAATCTTATGACTTAAACAGAAGTTTTGCATTTTGGGAAATACATAGTTTTGGGTTCTCAAAAACTCTCATTACTCACTAATAAATTTTTCTCTTTCCTTTAATATCTTCGCAGAATTTTTTTTCAGTACAATATTGTCTTTGTGCATTCATGCTGGCATATTTTAACATTTACTATTTAAATGGTGTAACTGCCAGCATCCTTATATACATAGCTGTAAAAAAGTTTGAAACTGCATAGCTGTTACTTACAGTAATTGCTATTTCTATCATTCAGAGTTAGTCAGTATAGTGTTTCACAAGCATTGCATTAGCTAACTTTAAATACTTTATTTCAAATGTGCCCAGAGTTCTTAGTTATAAAATTGAGACACTGTTACTGAAGTAATTAAGGAATTATAATCAGTTTTCATAGTATTCTAATAGCTAGAGATGGACCCCAGGAGAAAAGCAATGAGAATAACATTCTATGCTTGCAACAAGTTTTTTGCTTTTATGTGATGAGGTGTCCTCATTGATGAAGTTTAAAGACCTCTTGTATTTCCTCTTATGAACAAATGCTGAAGACTAAGTCTCCAGAGAATACTAAACATTACGTATCTTTTGCTGTTCATCATGTTTTCCTCTTCCTATTTTCCACTTTTCCAGCTATTTCCAGTCGGCTTAATTTTGTGTGTAAAGTTTCTAAATCTTATGCTAAAACTGCTAGAGAGAAATTGCAAGATCTAAATGTGGTAAATTTTCTTCCAATAATAAATACAACTTCATCCATTAAAAGGAAATGGGTTCAGCTTTCATATTAGTTACATAATTCATGATCTCCATGAACAGAAAATGATACTGACAGATATCTTTTATTATTTTGTGCTTAAGTATATTTCAGTTAGAACCATATAATTATAAATGCATGCATGATATTGAGGTCCTTTAAAAAGTCCATCTTTGTCAAGTATACATTTCTTTTTATCACTGGACTAAAATTTTTGAAGAAACATTAAGCATCTTAATTAATGTTTTCAACATCTTAATTAATTCTTGATCCATTTGGTTTAAATGATCATGTGGCATACAGAGGCAAAACAGTGATTTTCATTTTGTCGAAATTTGATATTTCAGTTGCATGACCAGAAAGAAACAATATATAATTAACATCAATTTAAAATAAAGTTTTACATTCAGCTGTGAAGTTCTCTTTATTGGATAAAGTGGGAAGTTAGTTTGTTTTTCAGCACTTCACAGTGCACCTAAAGTACCTTTTTTTTTGGCCAGATGATGTAAGTCTGGAGGTTGGGAACTGAGGCATCACAAATTAGGATATTTATGCATTACAATAAAAATTTTTAGTTGATTGCATTTGCTTTGGAATTAAATAGTTTATCATTCGTGATAGTCATTAATTTTGCTGATGATATGCTATTATTTTATTACCTGAATAAATGCAGTGATTTAGTATTTTTCCTTTGGGAAAGGACATATGATATTGCTGGGATAATATGATTGAAATAGTATATTACAAGCCAAAAACATATTTATTGAATCATGTCAGTTTTACTTTGGATTTTCTTGACTTTTAATTTATTTATGACTAGCAAAGCTGGCAAATGAGAAAGAGTTCATATCAAGTATTTTATTTTAGAGTAATTAGACATTTTTTAATGTTGTGGTCTAAAAGTCTTTGCCACATTTAAAAAAAAGTTATTGTAAGAAGAATGTAGAGTAGGAACACAAAGTCTGCAGATATACAGCTACAGTAACTAAACATTTTATTTTTCATACTATTATCAAACTTTGATGCATGAATGCTCTGTTGTTTAAAGCACATCTGATTGTTGTTCGGTTTTAGTAAGCAGCAAAACTGCTTGTGAAACAATCTCAGTTGCCTGAGTTATTTGTGTTTTGTTGTGCTTGTCACCATACATATGTTTTTCTTGTAATCAAAAATCCCTTTAAAAAATCATAGGGCAGTATTATCATTCTCTAAAAAAAATAATAATTTGAGAATGAAGTGGCATTACATTGAACTATTCTCTCCGTTCATCCATCCATCATCTGTAGTATAATATGTAATATAAATATGATATAATAAATATACATACAGTAAGATCCAAAAGTTTAGGGGCTGTGCTTATTTATAATAAAATAAATAAATCAAAATTTGAAATCTGTCCTTTCACTCTTATGTATCATGAGCAGAATATTTGGCCTTTCAGCAGTGATTTGCAGACATGTTGTTCTTGGCAAAGTGGTCCCTAATACTGATTTCTCATTCTCTTAACACCTACAGAGTTCCTTGCATAAAGGGCATGAATTGAGTGAATAAGCAGGATTTAAAAGATGTTTTAAAATCCTGCCTATTCATCCAGCTTCAGCTGAATTTACTTTTACCTTTCTCCACCAATGAAGCAGAAGTTTTCAAGAATGCTGCTTTGTGTCAACAACTGATTTAAAAGCAGCATTGAAGGAGGCATTATGGGTGTTTGCAAAAGTTGTCTTAAAATAATGCTTCTAAAAGCTAATATGGGTGCTAGTATTTTATTCCTTCAAGAATTATTTTGAAGGTGGTTATGAATGTGTATTTTTAACCATTTGAAATAAAACAAACCATATGGAAAGTTCCCTTGTTAGATAGATCCAACTAGATATAACAGTCTCTGATTATAGTAATTTTAATGTATTTATTAGTAATTCAAAATGAAGTAATGTTTTTGGAAGGGATAATTTTTTATATTTTTGGCCTTTCAGGGGCCAGGAACACAAGTTTTGAGGGGGAAAAGTAAATAAGGGTGAAATGAAGCCATTTATGGAGAGAAAAGATTATGAATTGTTGCTTAAATAATATTTCATTAATTGATAATTAACAAAATTTTCCATTATTTCTCATAGATATTTACTTATTTTGTATGGTTACAACTTAACACAAAACAGAATTATCAAATTATATCAGTACTTTATTTACTTTTATTTTATTTCTTTTCTGTATTTCTTGCTATCTGCAGATGATATGAGAGCTTGCATGACGTACATGATTGCATGAAAATTAAGAAGTCAGGATTCTTTCTCTTTAAGGTGGTACAATCTCAAAGTTAAAAATGTTTCTTTTTCTTTCTCTTTTATAAAAATTAGTATGTATGAAATAGTTATATATTTTAAGACTGCTGTTATTCATATATCAGTTTCTGAAATGCTATTATTTCTTAGTCAAGTTAATTTAAAGTATTAAGAACTTTTTAATTAATTAAATATGATTCAAATAGTTTGTATGCATGATAATAGAGCATGTTTGCATTATATCTTATGATTATATGCTTTGCTTTTTCATTTACTTTGTTCTTTCACTTTTCTTCTTTAGCATCCTAAAATTAATATTTTAATGTTCATTTCATATAATGCATCAGTTCGTTTGCTTTATTAACATATTTCTAATAACTGAACATGTAATGAAATTTTATAAACTTCTTGAGAATGTACGATGTTTTCTCAGTCCAAAATTGAAATTAGATATTTATTTAAATAATAATGCACCTTGTTCCTCTAGGTCTTCATCAGAAAAAAAATATTTGTATGAGTAAAATGTATTGTACAGGAAAAAAGAAAAATCTTTAATGAATTTATTAAATTTCATAAAACTTTTCAAGCCTAAAAAATCTGGGCCCAGGCTGTTTTAATCCATTCATGTACCATTTCACTTATTGGTCATTTCATCTTTTCCTAGAGATTTTCCTTTGCAATTTGCCAACCACTGAGTATATTAATCTATCATGGCACTGTTGTGCAATTTATTAATAAGAAGATTCATAAATTGTGATATGGATGTTATACCTCCAAGGATATTATTTGATCAGCCATAGCATATTATAAGGTTGTTTTTACTTACTTCATTATTTGTGCATAGAATTGTCCTTTTTTTTTTCCATATGTGTGTGTGTGTTTTAAAAATTGAGCAGATCATTTGGGTAAATAATAGCAATTGTACAGAAGCCTTCTGAAGAGATATAAATATCACTTAGTTTGAAATTTTTAATGCATAAACGAAAGAGATGTTTAAGTGGAAATAAGTGCTATTAAAGCCAAAATCAGTTCTCACAACTTGCAGTTTACTGACTCCACTGATGATAAAGTATGGAATAGCTTATTTACCCTCTGGAATAACAATATCTGTGTGCCTGTGTGGATGAAAATTGCTTTGAAATAGGATTTCCAGAATAGAGAGACTAAGCTATAAATATTTCCAATGTCAAATACAGTGAGCTTTTTCATGGGCCTTCTCTAAAATTCTTTGGGAAAGTATATGCGAGATATGCAATTCTATGATTTTATCCAAGATGTCCCATTTAGCATTCACTTCTCTTGGTGCCAGGACAAAATGCTGCATTGCATGCTGCTCGTGAAAGGCAAGATTCCCAATTTTAATCATTTTTTTTTTTTTCAAAATGGGGGGAAAGCACATAAATAACAGTTAACTTGTATAGCGTTTTACAAAAAACTGAACCTACTGTTTGAGAATTAATCAGGTTTACTTAAAACCGAAGATCTTATGATTGATAATGCCATGCTTATCTATTATTGTTATTAAATCACACAGTTTGGTGACAGTGTGATTTAGTAGCATCAAATGCTTTATGATGACTTTACCAGTCTCAATTGCTTAATTTTTGCAGGGAAATTTAAAATTAAAAACTGTTATTTAAGCTTTCTAGTTAGCTAAATGCTGGATATTTGGGCTTTTACTGTGTATGTCTACAACCATTAGTTTCAGAAATAAAGACTGAGTAAGCACTGTATATATATATATATATGCTCTAGAATATTTTTGTAATGTTTTTAAGAAAGTATATTTATGTTCATCTTGAAATATGTCAAAGAAATTAAAGCAATGTATTTAAAGTACATAAATCCAAACATAAAGTACCATGTGCATTTGGATATTAAGATTTTTTTAAAAAATGCCTCTTTCTCATGGCAGTTTTGGGAAAATAGGGGTTTCCTAGTGAAACCTTATGTTCATTACTGAAAATAAGATTTGCCTTTGAATTGCTCTCATCTTTAGTAAATAAACAGCCATTTGCAAAAACAGCTCTTGTTTTATGTAGCTTGAAATCTTTTATTATTAGTTATGAATATTTTATATGCTTTTTATTAACTTTCAGTCATCTAAAAATGCAAGATTGTTTCAAGGAGGATTCAAAAACTGATGAAGTGTTAGAAAACAAACACGTGTCATATTTAGAAAGCATGCTTAAATCTTTAAATGACCAAATAGAGAGTCTAAATTCTGAGAAAGATCGCTTATTAACAGTCCAGACTGAACTTCAATCAAAACTTCAAAATGCAAATGAAGAGAAAAAGAATATAAAAATTTCAGAACAGAATCTAGTATTGGAAGTCAATAAAAGGTAAGTTTTCACTGATGTCAAAAGTTAAAATTTCGTGTGTAGAATATTTTATCTGTTAAAAGGTGAGAAATATGGTATTGTATCTGATGCCTTAAGTTTTTGCACATTACCAATAGGATATCTTTTTATCAGAAGTGAATTGCATTTTGATTGCTGATAATAAGAATAAAAATACTGTATTGTAAAGTGTAAAAAAGTGATTAGTTGTGATTTATCAGCATAAAGTGTATTTTACTTACATCGGACAATTCTTTTTAGCATTTAAATGTTCCTTTCAAATACAAAGGTTGTTTCTGCAGTAGTATTTTGAATGCACAGTAGTGCTCAGTCTTTTGACAGAAACAGATTTTATTTTAGTAAGAGTCTTGTAGTGCATTACAAAATAAAATATGGCAAATGTGTAGAAGATAAAAATATACAATAACATATCTATATAATATTTTGTTTAGCAACAAAAAAAGTAAAATATCCTTTCTATTATGTCAAATATTATTTGAAATAATAAAATTGTATATGAAAAAATTTTTTACATGAAATAATACAATATGTCTTCATCAGTAGGTTGGAAGTCTTTTTATTTTTGAAAAAGCATCACATCTTTTGGACATGGCCTTGGTTATCTTAACATTTTGTTTAAAAGAATAAGTTCCTGTTTCTTTCTTAAAGTCTCAAATAAAGTATGAAATTTTCATATTCTAATTTCTGAATCTGCTATCAAACACTTACCGGTGTTCTCCAGGATTTTTTATGATTTGGGTATAGTGAAATTTTCATTTTTTTCACAGCATAAGCACTCTTTTATAAACTTTGAGCTTGTTGAAAATCAAAATTATTTTTGCTGTTGTATTCTTCTCTACATAAGATATCATTTTATTTAACCTGCATACAAATCAGCCCATTTCATTATGCTAAATAAAATTCCATTGCCCTCAACTGAACAACATCTCTGTACAATTTCATTATTTCTATTTTGTTTATAGTGAAAAAAAATATTAACAATTATTTCTTTCATTTTGTGATCACTGTACATCCATTATCCTATTTTAAGAAAACAAGTTAAATGTATTGGTGAAGGCAAATTAATTAAATTTTAATTTATTTGCTAAATTTTAATTTATTTTACTTGAAACTGAACTATATTTATTTCTCTGGTATTTGATACTTGCAAAATTTTACCAAATAAGTGGGTTATGATGACAAACTGGCCAGAATACAGAAACCATATCATGAAGTTAGGATAGTCCTGGTCAAAGCAGGACTGGTAAGCTTACATAGGAATGATAGTTGGCAAGTGAAATACTTGAGTTCAACTTATTCATTTCATTAGTAATCTGCAATAGTATATTTCAAGGATTGATATCTTATTGCATTTGGATTATTCTGTCCCAATTTGAAGATTTTCATGATCACCCATAACTTGGCTTATTGTATACCTGTTTCTGTCATTTCTTATGATTGTAATCACTTATAATTTATTATGACTGTCTGAAATCATGAGCAGTATGATTTATTTTATTAGTTCTTTAAAGCATAAATAAGCTTTGGAAGTTCTTTTTCTTTTCTGATTTTCATTTTAGCTGTAATTATATATTACACTAAAAAGAGCAAAAAGATGATATTAAAATGTATTTTGTAAATTTTAAACTATACATGTTAAAAGACTCTTAAATTGTACACATCAATAAAATGCAAATTAAAATTTATTTGGCTAAAAAATGGGACTTTAACTACTTGTAATAATACAAAAATGCATTAATAGTTGAGGCAGATTATGTAAATTTTTCCTAACTTTAAAATGAACATGTAAAATAAGAAAGTAATTTACATTATGAAAACAATTTTGAGTAATACTACACGAACCTTTTCTGGTTTACAGTATGAAAAAAAGAGTTTTTGATATTTATTTAATAACACTTTTTTTTTTTTTTTCTCTCATTTTAAGAAATTTTTGTGTGTTTCAAGTTTTATAACTCAGTTTATATTTGAAATTCTCAAGCTAGCACACATAATGTGCCTTTTAGGTTCTAATTAAAGCAAAAGTATTGTGATGCTTTATAAAAGTAATGAATTTTTCAGAAAGAAATGCAGTTTTCTTGTGCTTTTGCTTTTGTAAATCTTATAATATATTTTCTTAGAAATTTTGAAATTTAATTTTCTCTTGAAGTTCTTAAAAGACATACCGTATATGCTCACATAATGTCTGCACTTTTTTTTCTAAAATTACATCACTAAAATGCAGGTGCGGATATTGCATGGATCTTTCAAATGTCACGCTTTTTCTCCTGAGTAATTTTGGGTGTAAATTTCATTTCAAACAGCAAAGTTAATTTCTAAGTGGAAGAAAATGGCATAAGTAATAAAAGTATCAAATTTAAAGTTGTCTAATAGCAACCTAAAATTTACAAACTCACTTTCTCCCATCCACAAATATAATATAAATTACCTCATTTACGGTATCAACAGATGGCACGTATTAGTTCGCCAGGAGTACAATATAGAGGCATAAATTAGCCAACACTTGCAATATTAATATTTACTTAAACAAATTTTAAAACAAATTAAATAAACATTGGTTATAAATAATGTGTGCAAGATATTAAATTGGTTCTTTTAATATATTCCACACATTATTTAAAAAAAAAAAATAATTCTGACACACTGTATGAAAATCCATTTTGTTTCATCATTTGCTGCAACCAGCTTTCACTTGCCTTGAATTGCGATGTAGGGATGTCTTCTTATCTTGTCGCAACAAGCACTCTTATTTGGCACATTTTCCATATTACTGCATACCCTTGGGCATGCATATCATGAACATATGCAACTAATTTTTTTTCCGAAGTTCAGAAACTTACATTCCGAACCACGAAACGCATATCTTGTTTTGTTCATTGCTGTTGATCATGCTGTTTGCTCCAATTGCACACACTTTTCGTCCACCTTATATACACTTACTGTTGCTCTTTTTCCATTTTCCGGCACTAATTCTATTCTATGACTTTGTAATAAAAGCCGCTGTATAGCTGCTTGTATTTTCCCATTTCAAGCACACTACTTGCTAACGGCCACTAATTCCAAATGATATTATGAATGAAAAGAGAAAGTTTGAGATATGCAAATACTCCAAGGAGGAAGGAGGGGAAAGTAATTTCATTACAAAACAGTATTTCCTGGAAGTCAGTGTGATGAAAACCTGTTTGGACTGCCTTCCTTTATTACTGTGTCTGATGAGAGGATTGCTGGCACCGATGTTATGACTGAATAACAGCTGGACCAGAATGCAAGGAAAGTCTCTGCTTTCCATCCTGGTGCCAACCAAAGACAAAATAAATACATATTCTTTAAAGATGTTTATTGACTAATGTTATTGACTAAAGGGAAAAAGGCAATGTTAAAGAAAATATATTTTAAAGTAAGATATTCTTTAGTTTTTTGGGGTGCGGGTCACTTTTTTTTTTTTTTTTTGCATAAATTTTATCTGTAAAGTTGGGGTGTGGAAATTACAGGAGCGTATACGGTAGTTTCTTTCTTTCATTTTGTTTATATATTTTGAGAACAAAAATTTATTTATTGTTATATAAAAATAAACCTTCATTCTTTGGATTTCACTTTGCTCATTAATATTCTTAAGCAAAATCTCTTCTTCATGTGCAAAAGGAAGTTGTGCCATTCTTTTTAATATTTCAGTTTTTCTTAGTATAATATTTAAATGTTTGAATTTTGTTTATTACTATAATATGAGGATTCATTTAAGCAAACTTACACAACTTACACTATGCAGCAAATGCGGGGAAAAGTGCATTCTCATACTTGAGTATGATTTTGATGACATTATCCCTACTTTATTAAACAAATCTTTTTTGTTATTTGAGTTCAACAGTATGCTTCCTTACTCTATGTTTACATTTTGTTTTTAGCATTGCATTGTAATTTCAACATTAAAAGTGTTATTACTTATGAAGTATATCTTGTGTGTTGCCATAGATTACTTTCTTACTGCCCTGATATGTGAATTGAAGAACTGAATGTACACTGGTTATCCTAAATTAAGGAAAAATCATGATTTCTGAAAAAGTTACACGTAGAATTTTATTAAACTTACCCACGATATACTACACATAGTAAGGTATCAAATAACATAAAAAGAAATTACCAGACAATTATGGTAGTATAGAAATTAGCACATGTATAAAATGAACGAATGAAAGGTGTCAGTTTGCTATAGGAAAGTACCTTCAGTATGGAATATTTTCGCCTCTAGAAGCAGTACAGCACATACAGCGATGTGTGATGCTTTCAATTATGTGGTCTATCAGTTCCATAGGAAGCGAGAGCCATTGCTCTTGCAAAGCAGTTGCAAGTGGGGCAAGGGTTTGAGGGGGCGGATTAAGAGCAGCTAAACATCTTCCTAAAGCATCCCAAACGTGCTCAATAGGATTCAAGTCCGGGGATTGAGCTGGCCACTCCATGTGCACATTTGTTTCCTGTTGAAGATAATCATCTACGATGAAGGGATGCGAGCGAGCCCTGTGGGGTCTTGCGTTGTCATCCTGTAACAGGAAAGCATCATCTGTTGCCCCTGTATATGGGCACACATAAGCATTAAGGATGTCATCTCTATAAACCTGAGCATTCACAGTTCCCCTTGGAAAGACATGGAGGTCTGTGCATCCACCCAAAGAGATGCCACCCCAAACACAGACACTGCCTCTTCCGTATGCATCTCTTTCACGGATGTTTGATGGATGATAACGGGTTCCAGGTTCTCTCCATATGAAATGATGCCTACTATCGCTTTCTAGAGTAAACCTGGACTCATCTGTAAAGAGAACAGCTCTCCATTGATCAGGCGTCCACTGGACATGTTGTTGTACCCACTGCAAGTAGTCCCTCCTATGCCGTGACGTGAGCGGCACACTAATGGCTGGTCGCCTCGCCCTACAAACCACCTTCGTGAAGCCTTCATTAACACGAACCTTCCGGTGTCTGCAGCAAGGGAG